GCCTAGACACATACGTAATGTAGGCTTCTCTTTGGGCGACACCGTCGGACCTGGTGTAGGCCTAGACACATCTGATATACTGTACTATACCATTACGTAAAGTAGGTTTCTTGGCCTACCACCAGCCTGCCGTCAAGCAATAAAATCAACATTTGTGGGATTATTTTCCAAGAAAAGATGGTTAAAAATTCTGGACACATAATATGCAGCATGTGATGGACGGACAAATCTAAGGATTGGCGGGGGCAGCATGTGATGGACGGATGAACCTAAGGGTTGGCCGGGGGTGGGGGGACGGGAGTTCATCAAATGATGTTTGGGAAAATAATAGTCAGAAAATACAGCATCTGATGGACAGTCCCGGGTAGGGGAGAACCTTAAAATTATGGACACATAAATTTGCAGCATAGCTTCATCAAATGATGTTTGGGAAAATAATGGTTAGAAAATACAGCATCTGATGGACAGTCCCGGGTGGGGGAGAACCTTAAAATTATGAACACATAAATTTACAGCATGTGATGGACTGCGTGTCCGGACAATTACCCCCTGGAAAATCACCCCCCGCCCTGGGAATCACCATACGCACCAAGGACAATTACAATTAATTTTCCGGGGGTAATTGTCCTAGTACCGATGGACTGACCGTCTATACACATATACAGCATGTGATGGAGGCATGTATCTGATGGACAGTCCCGGGTGGGGGAGAACCTTAAAATTATGGACACATAAATTTACAGCATGTGATGGACTGACCATCTATACACATATACAGCATGTGATGGAGGCATGTGATAGACGGACGAACGTATGCCTTTCTTCAATTAATTTCCAGTAAAATAATTATTACAACTTCAAAAAAACTCGTGTTTTTATTGCATAAATTAATTTCACAAGCATTTATTCTGAAATATAGTGGTATCAAAATTCTTTCTATAACGGTACAAGCCACCGGGAACCAGACGTCGAACAGAAAGTTTCAACAGTTTTGAGCGGTTTCGAAATTGTTTGAGTGAACGTAACTATGAAAATAATTATTTAAACAACAAAAAACCATTGCTTGATTGTCGTAGAAAATGTAGTAGGATAGTACAGCGCTGTATAGTGAGTAAATTACAAATACTAGCCTTCAAAGCCTAGGCTAATTAATTGGGATAGTTTGTAGGAGCATGGGCCCAAGCTAGACAGACGGCGCCTGATTTTTGCTGCGGTTCACGATCTGAAATTTTTGAGAGTAGGTTAACGACCGGTGTATAGGCTGCACCCCAAACTTCGGGGGGAAAATCTCGTATAAAATTTGCGGCTTATTCACCAGAAAATACGGTTTATGGAGCAAAAACTTGTGTTTCTTCATAATTTTAAGGGGGGTGGGGGGCCGGAGAATTTGTATGAGGCTGGGCGGATGGCCTTGATAATAGCTTTAGGATGGGCGCAAGATGTCAAGAGTGGGCGGCGCCGCCCACCTCCGCCCTACATAACGACATCCCTGCATTTCTCAGAACCCCTTACCCCCTCCCCCTCCATAAATTTCTGGATCCGCCTCTGATTTTTTTGACTGAAAATGAAAATACTGTATTACCTTACACAATCATTATTCAAAAAAGATACAATAAGTTATTACAATTCCCAAATAAATGTACATTGATTTTTTACGTGCAAAGGAACATACGCACCCGCAGGGTTCTGGTTATTATTATGGTTATTATTATTATTATATAAATAATAATAATAATAATAATTCTTAAAGGTGTCACATTAGATTGACATCATTTATGAATGCCATTTGGGTTTCACGGTGGGATTAAGGCTAACAAATCAAATATAAAGTCCATTGTTAATATTTCTAGCTTTGCATTGCCTTTTTTGTTTGACGTTTTAGCCTTGTAAACTATTAAATTAATTAAGGTATAATTGTTGTCTTCATAGGATTTGAATTTAGAATGTTTATTTATGAATTTTAATAATACTGTATTTATAATAATAATAAAGTTACACTTACTAAAATATAATGTAAAGTATGGTAATTAAGGACGTGTCAGACAGTGCACCATACTCATGAAATAAATCAGGTAGACTTCACTCTCTCAGGTGCAACTCAAGTAGGTCAAGGAACTCTTATTAACTCAATAACTCAATAGTATATATAATATTGCATATAACTGATAAAATATATTATTAGGCCTATAGCATAATTCATTTTACTTTAATTTCTACTCATCCTCTGAATGGTCAGTTTTTTTATGTTCATACATTGGTATATATGTGAATGTTTTTTAATTAATGTTGTAAATAAATGTGGCTTTGCCAGAAAATAAATAAAAAACATTAATTAATATTCATTAAAATCCTTTGGCTGTGGTAGTCCTTTATTCTTAGCTAAAAAATTAGGAACAAAATTGTTGTTGCATTCTATTTGTTTTATAAAGAATGAGTATCATGATTTGCAAATCTTCTTTTCTGTCTTTATGAAGATGTGTCAATCACTTTTGTGTGACTGAACTATGAAAATCCACTGCTGAATCTTTGAGACCCAAAAAAAAAAAAAAAATAAAATAAACAAATCTACATGTTGCAAGATAAACGAAACTAATACAGATATTTAGCCCTGAATGTCAATCAGTCATGCACATTCACATTCTCATTTTTGTTTTTTTATACAGGTAATGAAGAACCATCAAAATCAAAACGACCAAAGTTAAATGAAGGTATGTACTGGGTGCTAAATGTTATGTTTTATTTGACAATAATATTTGAAATTGCCCAAGTTGTGGCATCATAATTAATTATAGCTACATCAATGCGAATAATGTACATGTAATTCGTCATGTCATTCTAGACGTGTCTTGCTTTATGATTGGTTGAAATCCACTGCCCGATTTTGGAGACCATAAAAAACAGATCTACAGTATTTAAGGCAAAGAAATCCGGTATTGGATCTTTAGACCCAAATTAATGATTCCTGTAGGGCCTACCGGACCTCTAGCCTTATTACCTCATACTTCTAGCTTGGTGTTAAATTCAGACTATTGTTCTGTGTTTGTTGTGTTCTTGTGTAGCTATGCTGTTAATGTTCACATTCTCAATTTCTGGTTTTGTACAGGTATTGAAGAACCCTCAACATCAAAACGACCAAAGTTAAATGAAGGTATGTACTGGGTGCTGATACAGCATATTACACTTGACATTAATATTTAAAATTTGTTTCTCTAGCAATGATATGTTTGATAGAGTATTACATTAATTAATATTATATATTGTATGTTTGTGTATATATATCGAGTAGGCACATAGCTTGTGTTCCACTATTTGCATTCAAACCTGGGCTGTATCTATATTGCCTTGGTTTGACTTTGTGTTCATTAGCGGTACTGCAGTTGAACTAAAAAATATGTGTGATAGAGTAAGTTAAACGTGGAGCCAGCCAAGGCCCTGCTTAAACTGGTTGAACGTTTCGTCTTGATCTGTACCCCAGCTGCACTGATGAGGCCAATTCTCGTTTTTTTTGTACAGGTAATGAAGAACCATCAACAGCAAAACGACAAAAGTTAAATGAAGGTACGTACTGGGTGCTAAATGATACAGTATATATTACACTTGACATTGTATGTATGTATTTTTTCTTTATTCTGAAATACATTTTCAATACAATGTACTGGTTTCCAAAGTGGTTCAGCTTGACACACAAAAGTAACAACAATTTTCAAACATAACTTAACTAATAAATGTAAAACAAGAAATTTTCATTGTAGAATTTAAGTATGTATTGTTATACAGAACAAAAGTAAAATATACAATCAATAAAATAACTTAATAAATGTAAGATAAGTTTATCTTTAAATTTTACATTTGGAATTACAGAATTAATTACAAAATCTGCAATAGATATGCATGCACTAAAATGTAAAAGCAGGAGTGAACTTAGGGAAAGTAATATAATCAAAAATTTCAATGTAGACTTAATTTTAAGGTAAAAGAAGGTTTAATAAATTTTATGAATTTGATAATTAAATAAAGTTTAAAATAATTTGTTTGGATGTGGAAATTGTCATATCTTGGAGGTCAGTTTTCATATTATTAGGTAGAGAATTCCATAATTTGGTTGATCTGTAATTAAATGTTTTTTTACCTTGTGAAGTATTCCATTTAGGTACTACAAAATTATTATTACTTTGACTTCGTGTACATTGATTATGGCTTTCTTCAGTATAAATAAATTTGCTTGACAAATATGATGGAGCATTTCCTTTTAGACACTTAAATAACATTATAAGAATTTGTTCATTCCATTTATTATTGAGTCTGCTCCATCTAAGGGAATTTAAAATATTACTAACAGGAGTCTTGATATCAACTGATAATAATATTCTACCTAATCTATTTAATAAAACTTGAAGAGAGTCTGAAAATTCAACTTTACAATTAGACCATACACAACAACAATAATCAAATAAGGGGATAACTAGTGCATTTGCCAACATATTGAGAGTGTGTGATGGAAGGTAGTGTTTCACACGACGGATTATTCCAATTCGTTTTGAAATCTTTGAAGAGAGGCTGTCAATATGGTCTTTTAATTGGGGATCAAAGTTTACACCTAAATACTTATAAGAATTAACTCTCTCAATAATGTCATCATTATACGATACAGAAATATTTTTAAACCTAGAACTGGCATAAATAGTAGTGAAAAACATAAGCTTTGTTTTTTTTATATTTAAAGTAAGTATTCAATTAAATGGCTCTAAAAAAATATGTTTGATAAAGTTAGTTAATTAATATTCATTACCGACAGTAGCTCCTTCATTCTAAACCAAAAAAATTAGAAACAACATTTGCGTTGTATACTATTTACTTTAATGATCTGCAGATCTTTACTTTTACTGTTTCTATGGAGATGTGCCAATCTAAAAACAACTTGTATGGTATGGTGTGGCTTATGTAACTGAATTATGCTATGATGTAAATAAATTTGTTTAGTTTAGTCATTTACAGTTCAAATTAACTTTTTGCTGCTAATTCCAGCAAGATTGTGAGTACTCCAATATTCTACACTTCATTCTCCAGCAGTTAACCGTTTCGCCAAATTTTAGGAGGTTCAAAATTGAGTCGCCACCTCACTTACTTATCCAACATTTAGAGCCAGCACCGAACTTGATAGCGTATACTCTGAAAATTTAAATAGAAGATGTAACGTTTGGTGTCATAATTTTGTTCTCAGTGAATAGGACAGTGGTCTATGGAAAAGATGATGAAACATACGCATCTTTTTATAACCGTTTGAAAGATAACGTAAGACTGTCAAACATGTTTATAAGAAAGAATGTTGATGGGGATGGGAACTGTTTTTTATACTGCATCCAAGATCAGTTTGAGAGGTTGTGTTTACCAAATCGATCTACTGCACAACTCAGGGCTGATTTAGTAGACTACTTGCGACATTTGGTGAGTGCAATTTATTCCATAGTATTATCCATAAATCATAGTATTTTTATTTTATATATTGTGAAAATTATACAATTTTTAAATTTGTTTTCAGGATGAAAAAGACCCATTGACCAGCCTTATAGATGACAAATATCTAGATGATTTGAGTAAAGGTGGTACTTTTGTTGATGAAGTAGCCGTACGTGGGCTGTCACGAATATTAAATCACAACTTTTACATTGTGACGAGTCAGAGAAAAAGCACAGAGCAGGGTTACTTGGTCACAAAAATTAAAGAAAACTCCAATCCATATGGTCTAATGTTATTTGGTCAAATAGGAGAGCTACACTATATCAGCTTAGGTAAGTGGTAGTAGTACACATGTACCTCATAAACACACCCTTCAACATGTTACACATTTCTCAGAGTAAGTTATAGCAGTATATTTTACTTGATATTATCTATATTATAATTACGCTTATTCCCAAGCCTATAGACACAGTGCAATACTGATGCACTCAATAAAAGCGTGTGGGATTCAAAACCTACTGGTCTCAAAAAGCAATATATCAATTTTTTGCAGGCACGATGTGAATATCAATTCATATTTTAGATTTATAGGAAGGGAAAAGAATGACTAACTTTTCATCACATGGTTACAACTTTAATAGTAAAATGAATCTTTATGTTTTAGTAATTTTGTTGTATGATTTTATTTTTCAAGCATTTTTTATTGCTTTCCATTTTGTAACTGATCTGCATTCAATTGTGAAATAACATGTTAAAGTTGAGATGAAAAAAAGTATTGTACAAATGTTTAATACCCATAATAGGTTTTGCTACACATGTAGTACAGTAAATTGGAGAATCAAGTCAATTCATGTACATTTGCTGTATATCGTATCTTTTTGTAATTTTCTTTATTGCAACATATCTTATACAACATGGTATGAATTACAATATAGGATCCAAGAAATAGATTTTTCTTAATCAAACTTTCTTAACTACTCCTTAACTCCTACACCTAAACAATACAATTCAATAATTAATTAAATAATAAAATAGTAAAAAAGACCAAGCTATAGCCCCAATACTCTGATAACAAAGAAAGGGTTTTAAGTTTTGAAACAAAAACATTTCTTGAAGTGATCTCTTTTAAATCAGTAAGTAAAAAACTCCATAGGTTTAATTTCAAATTTGCCTAAATTAGTTTTATGTCTGGGTATGGATAAATTAAAATTATCATTGAATCTTGCTCTATAAATAGTTCTTAAAATATTCCGATAGACTGTGTGGTAAACTATATATTGAAGAGTGGATTTGCATGTGTGCCCCAATTAAAATAAAATGCATAAACAATGAGAAGATGATGTACAATCATTGAAGATTGACTTGCGGAACACAATTTTAATAGAATATAATAAAAGTGATATTTTAATAGCTCGTGCTCTCTTTATCAATGCTTAAGGGGTGAGCTATAGTTATAGTATACAGCTTAAATATATAAAAAATAAATGAGAATGAGCTCTAAAACTGGAAAATGTAATGCATCTGGCATACATGTTTTGAGAACATTATAATTGTTTCAAATAATAAACTGTCCCATACATCCAATACCATAAATCAAAGTAAGTTTAATAAAGGAATTTACATAGCATATTTAATGTCCAGTCAGGAACACAGTGCTCTTACCTAAATAAAATTCCAGCTCTCATTTTAACCATCTTATTTAATCAGAAATATGTTCTTTAAAATTAATAAATTTGTCTTTTGCTAGGATATGGTGGATCAGCAACTGGTATGGGAGAAAGTGCAATGTCTGGTCATCAACAGCAGCAACCACCACCAGCAAGACACATGATCCTGCCTCAACAGCTGCAGCAGCCCCAAGCACAGATCCGGAACCAGTCGATGGCCAATTCGTTGAGATTAGCTGTGCAGTGTAAACACCCGATGCAAAGCCTTCAAAGACCATCCCCAGGTAGGCATGTATTTTAAAGGCTGTGGCTAACTCGTACATAACCTGATGGACAATTTCAATACATTTAAAACATGTAAAAAATTATATCAGTTAAGAAAAAGTGCCAAGCCAAAGGTGAAATAATGGAAACTATAAATTTTAAAAGAATGCAGCTGGCCCATTAATTACATGTGAATTATATTTGTATATAAATTGTAAAAGTAACAATACTCACCATAATCAAAATACCCAATTTGAAACAATAAAATAGTATCGATTTTAAAAGAAAATGTAGTTATTTTATGTACATTAATTTCAATCTTAACATCATTATCATTATCATTTCAATCTTAAAATCATCATTAAATTAAATGTAAAGGATATTACAATAATAACTACATATATTACATTGCAATAAAAATAAACTATAAAGAAACCTAGATGTAATCTTAATTCAAAGTTTATTTTATTAAACTATTTAATTATTACATAAACATATTAAATATAAAATGGATTTTCAAGTTTATTCAATTATAAAAAAATATTATCTTAAAATTAAAATGTTACCAAATTCACCCACAAAATCACATTGAAAAAATAAATAAAAACAATTTAATTCTTATTGTTATTGTCAATACCAATAATTATCATCAGTTCACAAAAAATAAATTGTGTTGACCACATTTTGGGAAAATAAAAAAATGGGTAGGTCAGTTTATGCCTAAAAATTAGAAAATGCAAAGACCATTATAAATTTGTATTGAAGAGCAGAACGATAGCGTAACACTGTTCAATCGCCTATCGTCGCAAGATAGGCCTTTTCCGGCCTTTTTTGCTTCATTGAAAAAATATTTTTGTTGTAAAAAAAAAATGCTAACTCCCAATTTCGAACATTTTAGGTTCATCGGACTTGGCCCAGAAATTAATTTTTTATTTGGCCAAATATATATACAATTGAAATTTTTTTTTAAATTGAACATTTAAAAAAAAATGAATAAAAGTTTTGACATATTTCAAACCTATTAAATATAAATTGAATTTCAAATTCATTCCGTTATAAAAATAGTTATTTAATTATTTCACAATTGAAATGACACCAAGTTCAAGATTTCGAGCAAAATTCACATTGAAATCACAATCAACAACTCTCAAAAGTAAATAAAATTTCCATTTGTATTATACGGGTCCCCCTCCAATGAAAGACTACTTTTGGGAGCTTTGGTCTGTAATTAGAATTATAAAGATAAAAGACATTTTGTAATATGGAACCACAAAAGAGTGGTTTTTAATTAGAGGTGGTCTTTAATTAGAGGGAGACCTGCATATACAAGTGAAATTTTTTAATATGTAAACGTTTAAAAGAAAAATATTAATAAAAGTTATCACATATCCAAACATATGTAATATAAATGTAGTTTCAAATTCATTAAAATGTCACAGAATTCACAAGATCTCAGTCAAAATTTACCTTAAAATCACATTAAACATTTCTCAAAAATACATAAATAACATAAAATTTCAATTTGAATATTAAATTGCACTTTCTTTCTCTTTTTGTTACATTCTATTAAAATTCTGCTAGTTGTATTTATTTTATGGATCCACCTTTTTAGTTTATGTTCAAGTGTAATGCTGACTGATTACTGATATATCAATATATTTGGTCCACTTAACTGCAAACATGCTACTGTGACAACTACCCTGTCTTAAACTATTAGCACTTCTTTAAAAACATCAACTGTTTTTACTACAAAAACCGTAACTCAAACAAAATTCTGATAATAATATGGTATTAATAATAATAATGATAGTCACATTTATTAAAGTATCATTGTTTTGAACAAAGTAAGGTAATTAAGGATGGTCACACACATTGCACCATGCTCGCTCAATAAATCACTGTCAGGTAGGCTTCACTCTCAGATAAAAATTAAGGAATTCTAATTAACAACTCAATGGTTGTTATATAATATTGCATGTAACAGATAAAATATATTCTTAATCCTATATCATGTTTCATTTTACTTTCATTTATACTGAACCTCTGAATTGCAATATGTTTCTGGTTAATTGCTTTTATATTTTAACTATATTTTGTGTGAAAATTTTGATGTTCCTCAAATGATATGGTACATTTTCATAGGATGTTCATTTATATTTTGGAGCTGAAAATACATGTTTAAACATGTTGGAGTAAATGAAATGTGGTTAGTAGTTATTTGTAATTCACAATATTTTGATAATTGTCCCCACATGGTCAGTGCGAATGTAGGTAAGAATGGCCCCGGAAAAAAATGGCCCCAGTAAAAATGGCCCTAAATGACAAGTAGGTAAAAATGGCTCCAATGAAAAAATTCAGTAATAGAAATGATATTTTTTTTTTTAAATCTTCAAATATTTAAATACTGTAATAAACAAGAATTGAATCAATAACAAATACAGTTACACAACAGATGCAAATAATGTACTGAGAGATTATCAGAAAACAACGGTCATTGAACATTTTTTGATAGTTGAAATAAGTTTTAAAAACGTTATTCCACTAAGAAAGTAGAGGAATGACATACAGTACCGGCCAGTTTTATTGCAAAAATCCCAACGCGTTTTACCCGTTGTCGTTGCGTTGCGTTTGCGTTGAGTTGCGTTGCGTTGAATCTTTCAGTATTTATTCTCGTATTGCCTCGCCAGTCTAGGCGTAGAGGAGAGCGATATCATCTGCGCTAGGCTCCAGCCATTAAACTAGGCGCGGCAAGGAGATTGGCCCTAGATTACCTTCAGTTACTGCCACCGTAGGCCTAGTTATCTGCAGCA